TTGGTAATGTTAGCCATGGCACTTTCAGGGTGAGTAACTTAATCATGACCAAATAACTTGTCTTTAGTTTCGGAGTGTAGTCTGTCCACTGTTCCTTAAACAATGGAGTAATAAAACGAGCTTTCATCATTGAATTTTTGATCTGTAAATTGGCGTTCCTTAGGTTCATTTGCATTTGGCTTCATACATGCATCCCTAATCGAGCAGTTATCTTTCGTACACTACTAGCTACCTGGTTGCAGTGTGCTTCAATACAGTCGTCTGTCCCAGTAGAACTGATTCTATGGGATAACCTGCTAAGATGCTTCATGAGAATTTGGTTATCTATTTCAGGTTACCAGCTCAACGACCACATCAACTACCTCTTCCAAACCGGAGGAACGTAAACCCTCATCAACTCAGGCTGGTGGAGGCGCCAGTGAGATTGTCGGTGAACCAACGGGTTGGGCTGCGATAACAGAGGAAGAACCCAATTTCGATGAACGCATTCTTTTTAGCGATGACGAGGAAAGTCAAGAGGATTCTAAAAGCACACTGAAAAGCTCGGTTTCTGCACGAATTGCAACACAAAGTGATGCCAATACAACAACCGGTGCTTCAATTGTTGTTCCACCATCAAAGCAAAGCGCACCTGTATTGGGCTCGTTCAATGAGCCGGAACCTGTGTCTCATACTGAACCAAGCAGACCTTTTTCGTCTGCTTTTGGCGGTATGTCTTCATCTGTTTACGATGAACCTGCAAGGGAAAAAGTGTCGGATGCCTGGTCCAATACGGACTCTTCGTCTACCTTCGCAGCTTACAACGCGCCTCCAGTTTCTCGGCACCCAAACACACTCCCATTTGCCAATTCAGCGCTAGGGGCTCATTGTAGCGTTGGTTCAGAAAGTGACCGCGCGTTGACGATTGGCCAATACATGCAGCACCCGATTCAATCACAGGGTGTCAATCCATCTTTCCCCGGTAAGCCTGGTTTCATTGTTATGCAACTTGAGTTTGCCTTCCACTTTTCATCTTGACTTGGGTCATTTCACGATATGATTTGATCATCGTCATCATCGTCATCATCATCGCCATCATCATCGTCATCATCATCATCATCATCATCATCATCATCATCATCATCATCATCATCAATCAGTCAATCAATCATCGTACAGCGAAATACAATGAGGTGAACTCCACTGATCGCTGCGAAACTCGCAGTGCAAATAGATGTGATTTCCTGTTACTAGTAGCGTTCAGTTCTAGTGTGCTCAATCCTTAGCCTTTTACGTGATATTAGTAGGGTTTGTCGACTGGAACCACCTAACAGAGTCTCATGGGTTAATATGGATCGAGGTTTTACTGCGGCGGTTTATGCATAAGCCTCGCTTGTTGACATTAAGTGCATTGAAGAAGTTCTTTGATTCGCTAACGGGACCTGTTAAAACTTAACTCCATAATCATCCATTGTTAGGGCAACATCTGCATTATTTACAGGCGTCGGTTTCCTTTTGTATCTTTTTCAGCATTATGAGTTTCTCTTTTTACTTCGTGTTCGCTGCCTTTTGGCTCTTTCAACTACTTCTGTTTTTATCAATTTCAGACTCCTACTTCCCAAGTGCTATCCCACCTAATCGTATGGCGAGCTCAGGCGGTCTTCTGGATTCTATTCTTCCTCCGACAGATGCAGACACTGAACTGCAGAACGCCCAGCGCCAGGCGCGCACTCAAGAATTCAGATCGGCAGTTGAACGGGCCCGCATCTCTCGGCAACAAAGAGAAGTTTTTTCCACTGAAGACGAAAATCTCCTACAAAAGTCAGTTGTGAATCTCATTTCCGAATCATGTGATAGTTCCCATACGCACGCCACACAAGCACCCACTCAGTCAATGCTACTTTCTCCAGGTCATCCTGTGGTACCTCCCGTTATCAGTGGTGTGATTCCACAACAGCTTTTGCTACCCGGTGCCTATCCGCAAGGTGCTGGTCAGAATCGCCCGTCACTGGCAGCCGCCGCTGCGGCGGCTACCGCTGCTGCGATGGTCTGTGGAGCAGGTGGTGCACCGACCAGACTCGGCACTCCTGGTGCAGCACCTAACTTGGCAAAAATACCTCATTCCCAACCGTTACCTGTATCATCTCACTCTGCAGTCAACATGGTTGGGTCGTGGCAAGGACCTGGAACTCTCCCTCCCAATATTCCAACAACGGGTTTCACTAACCCGAAGCCACCTACAGTTCCTCAAGTTTTACAGAGTGCTCTGAGCATGGCTACCAGTGCGGCCCCCGGAGCGCATCCTAATGGTGTGTTCCTGAATCCGGACTTCTTCGTAGAACGCCTTCTAGAAATTCTCAACCAACAACAAGTGGTCAGACCTCAGTCGACCCCTCAGAGTTCTGCTCCTAGTAGAACCCTTCTTCAACCAACAGAAACCGTAGCTCCAACCTCCACACATGAGCAAGGACGTTTACTTCAACCTGGCTCAATGGGAACACCTAGCAAAGGCACATTTAGCGAAAATCAATTTAATGATAGCGATTTGACGGAGCTTTCTCAGCAGATCGAATCTACTTTGAAGACAGAATCACCGACTTCTATGCAGAATGTAGCGCCTTCGATATCAGAGCAAACTTCTGTGGCGTCGTCCACCGGGAAGCAGCAGACACAACAGCAGCAAGTCAAACGCGTTCCGATGCTGATGGACGTCAAAGTTCCTACGTCAACTTCACGAAACTTGGCTCACCTTTGGGAGCAGGACGATTACCTTAGTGGCCCTAGCGGACGTGGTGGGCGCGGTCGATCCAAACTGTTCTCTGCAGAAAAATCGAGAGGTGGTAGTAGAGGGAGACGCCCTGGGGGAAGATTCGCGTCGGACGATATNGTTCCCTTTTGATAGTTCGTTTCAACTCATCATCCGGTGCCCATTATATGTCTCCGGTTGTTTCCGTTGAATTTTCCAGCCTCTGTCGGAACTGTTTCGCTGTAAAGACGCTTCCTGCTGTGTATGGCAGTGCTCGAGTTTTAACAAAGCTAAGATTGTCACCTGTCTGCAAAATATCGTCAAAAGCAAACGAGAAATTCCGACTGTTATTGTTTGATAAGATAATTAAATCCACCCGTATGACGACGAATAAAAAATGGAAAACATGGATATTAAATACTTTCTCAGTTCTGCCACGATTGCCATGTGAGCCCGCTCTTTATGCACATTTCATTTACTTGCGTTATGTATGTTTATTTCGGTACTGATCTCCGCCTCCTAGTTCTTTCGTTTATTCCTTCACTTGGCCAAATTAGTACAAATAAACCAACCAAGACCGGCACACAAGAGCCAGCATGAAACGATATGAGCTATTGACTATTTATTTACAAAACTGGAATCGTTTTGAAGTTCATTGTTGTTTCTTTCCAGGTTCCGGAGACCACCGAGGTGCAGTAAACCCAATTGCGTCTCACGAGGATTACGATGGGTCGTCTAATGTCCGGTCATGGCATTCCAAAAACTCGAGGCGTGTTTTTAACGGTCCAAAACCAGAACAAGAAAATCCGCTCACCAACTCTGATATTCAGCTAGAGGTGACCCATAGTTCTCGGTCAGATGCGAAACCCTCCTACGGAAGTGAACCAGAGGAATACACTACTAGGGCCGAAGGATTCCACGACGATCCGAGCACTTCAAATCGCCGATATGACCCCTCATCAGGTTCTTTTGAAGCAGGAAATACCAACCGCCAAATTTCCGGGACTTCCAAACAACGAAATAAACCTGCACACAATGATGCACAGGAGGGTGAATCCAACGGTCAACGCCGGACTGATTATTCGAGACAACATGATCGTGTCCGTCGTGGTCGTGGTGGTTCTGGTTTCTATTATTCCAGCTCCAGGTTAGCTTTAGATATTTTTGAATTTTTAGTATTTTCCAAAACCGCCAGAAAGCAATAACGTTGTATACTATTAGCTTCTCAAACGAGACTGCGTGATACGTGAGACAGCTGTGTATAATGCAGTTGGATCTTGGTTTAGTATGCTGTATAGCGATTCAGCAGATTTTGACTGATCACCCTGTTCATTAGGGTCGCTCCCTCTTGGAGCGTTACTACTGTTCCAGTGAGCAAATCGTATTTGACGACAATAACTGATCCAAGTATCTACGAATACATTCACTAACCGTCAGTCACCATCGTTTGGCGGTAGACTGGTTTATGACAACACTTCTCTTGACAGACTTGACTGGGGCTATCAGTCTCGTTGGATTCACATGTGCTAATACCGGATTATTGATGAACTTATGTCGAGTTGGACATCTACATGTTCGAGCCCTTATACCAATTGTATCTTGAGTCCACTACATCGTGTAATTTAGAGGCATGAAAGCCGTAGGCTGCTGCAAGTCAATGACCAGCACATATATATGCTACAGTGAATGATATGCAACGACCTCCAAATATTGAGCAGTCTTCACCCTGTAAGTGATTTCCACAAAAAGACGTCCATGTAAAGCATCGTGGTGTTTTTTACTACATACTTGCCTCGAGTGAACGGCAGGGTAAACCCCATAGTTACGGGAACCTGCTTTACACATGAAAACTATCGACCTGATTCCCCGAGACAACCATTGCAAGTCTCCCACCAGGTTGAGCCAAACGACAGCGAAGTTGCTCGTCGCTAAGGTTTTGAGTGCTTCTGGGGTCCTAACCCTAGAGACCAATGCAGTTCGAACTATTTGACCATAACCACTACCAAAGTTTTGAAAGTTTTTCGACAGAAGAATGATAGCTACTTTCGCCTGACAAAATGTTATTAGAACAGTGATTGTTGTCCACAATTGAGTTTCGCTTCGAAGAATCCGACCGGTGCGTTGGAGACATCGAAGGACGCCAAACCAACAACATTGACCGATTCTTGGCGGGCCAGAATGTTTGCACAAATGTCCGGGGTGGCATTGGTCCAGTGAGTGAGGTCATCAAAACAACTATCTTAGAGTTCCTGAGTTCGAATCCTTCTATCACATCCCGTATTCCCAATTTCTTTATTTTCTCGGGAAGCTTTTGTTTGACCGCAGCTCCCTTAAAAGTTAGTTGTGTATTTGTATATTCAATGATCTAAAGCTAGCAAATACCGTGCACAGCTGGATCATGTACTCTAGATATTTACCATAGCGGTTTACTCCTTTCACTTCGAACCAAGTTCACCGCATGTATATCTCTTACCAACTTAATTTGCGTGCTTAGCTGCGATCAGTGCAGTTCACCGCATTTTTCTGTTCTATGCTGATAATGACTTCAGCTACATCGTACATCAACCGTGGCTCGTATTCTGTACCCTTCGCACTTTCAGTTTGATGACCGTTGATCTGAAATTCTTTTTAGAACGTACAACACTGAGGACGGATCGGGTAAGTACAGCTATGCGCCTGAGCAGAAGTCGTATCCGCGGGTTACTCGTGGTAGTTTCAGCGGCGGAAGCAACACTTTGCCGACCCGGAGTCATCGATCTGAAACAAGTGCAACGCATCTCGAAAGTAATTCGAGGAGACGCAATTTAGAGAAATCCACTGGTGAAAATTTCGAACACGGTAAGTTTTCCGTAGTGACCAATTTAAAGATTTTTGTGGCTGTGTTGAAGTGATCAGTTTCGAAAGGACGACTCAGTTTAAATAGGTTGACTTTCGTTCACAGTCGTTTTTCTTCATTACACTGTTGGCATACTGCGCGCTTACCAGTTTTTCATTTCACGCTAGGTTTGTTTTTTTACCCAAATAAATCCATCATACAATATCGTTGTTTCTGTATGCTAGACAACCGAACTACCCACGCGCATGGGGAAGAATGCCAAACTCAGCGTGTGCGCGATAACAGGCACCATGATCGTGAGTGGCGATTGCATGAAACCATTGAGGAAAAGAACTTTCAAAAAGGACGTAGTCACCTGC